CAAATTAACATCCACAAGTGTTCTAGCAATATGATCATCATCTTTGCTAAATTTGTCAAGTATTTTCTCAATATAATGAGATTATGACAAAGCATAACTTTCTAATGTTTTGTTAATTTTCATACCAAGAATTACATCAGCAATCCCCATGTCTTTCATGTCAAAATGTTTATTTAACATTTTCTTAATAGTTTTAATCATATCATTATTACTATCTATGATGAGCATATCATCCACATAAAGACATATATTGTCATAACCTTTGTCTGTGTTTTTAATATAGACACATTTGTCATACTCATTAATTTTAAATCCATTTGACACCATTGCCTTGTTAAATTTCTCATGCCATTGCTTTGGCGACTGTTTTAAACCATATAATGATTTAATCAATTTACACACTTTCTTTTCTTTTCCTGGAACTGCAAATCTTTCTGGTTGTTCCATGTAAATTTCTTCATCTAACTCATTATTTAAGAAAGCGGTTTTCATATCCATTTGATGAATTTCTAGATTGTACAATGATGCAATAGCAATTAGCATTCTAATTGATGTTATTCTAGTAACCGGTGAGTATGTGTCAAAGTAATCAAGACCTTCTTTTTGTCTAAAACCTTTGACCACAAGTCTCGCTTTGTATTTGTCAATTGATCCATCCACTTTCATTTTTCTTAAAATCTACTTGTAAACCCAGAGGTTTACACCTGTGGCAAATCCACTAATTCCCAAGTGTGATTTTGTAAGATGGATTCAACTTCACTGTTGACAGCTTCTTTCCATAAAGGAGCTTCAGGACTGGACATAGCTTCTTTAAAAGTTAAAGGCTCATTTTCTAATAAAAATGTTAGAAAATCTGGACCCAAAGATTTTGAGGTTTTAGCACATTTACTACGCCTAGGTTCCCCTTCCTTATTTTGATCTATCTCTTGTTCTTGATCATGTTCTTGATCCTAACTAGTAATAGCATCATGAGATCTTTTGTTAGTACTAGTCTCTTGTCCAGTTTTATTTGGAAATACATGTTCAAAGAAAGATGCATTCTGAGATTCAATAATAGTATTTATATGCATTTTGGAATGTTCTGACTTATGAATCAAAAATCGATATGCACTACTATTCATGGCATAACCAATGAAACGTAATCAACAGTTTTAGGACCTATCTTAGTCTTTTTAGGACTAGGAATAGTCATTTTAGCCAAACACCCCCACACTTTTAAGTGTTTATCGGATGGAACTCTCCCATGCCACAATTCATAAGGTGTTTGATTCACTTTCTTTCGAGGTACTTTATTAAGTATATAATTAGTAAAAAGTATTGCTTCCCCCCACAAGTTCTGAGGTAATCCAGAACTTATTAACATGGCATTCATCATTTCTTTTAAAGTCCTATTTTTTCTTTCAGTAATTCCATTTTGCCGAGGTGAGTAAGGAGCGATGGTTTGATGAATTATTCCATGTTCTTTACAAAACTCACCAAAATGTGATTCATATTCACCACCTCTATCACTTCTTAGTTTTTTTGATTTTTTTACCAGGTTGATTTTCAACTTCATTCTTATATTGAATGAAAGTTTCCAAAATTTCATTCTTGGTTCGAATTAAATAAACATAACTATATCTAGTATAGTCATCTATAAAAGTGATAAAATACTTTTTCTCACCTCTAGTTTGAATTGATTTAAAATCACAAATATCATTATAAATTAATTCAAGTGGTTCCGTACTTCTTTCAATTGAATGAAATGAGTTTTGGATAATTTTACCTCAACGTAAATTTCACATTTATGATTTGAATCAATGCCAAATTTAAGTAAGCATCCCATATTAATTAATCTACGCAAAGATCCATAATTAACATGTCCAAATCTACCATGCCATAAATTTGAGGACTCAAGCAAGTAAGAAGAAGATGTATTTTTAATAATAACAGAGGGTACAACAGTCATTACATTCATTTTGAAAAGGCCATTAGACATGTAATATTTTCCTACATATATCCCGTTTTTGGTAAGTACAAATTTGTCACTTTCAAAAACTAGCCTAAACCCATTTTTACTCAACAAAGATCCGGAAACAAGATTCTTGCGAATGTCCGGTGCATGCAACACATTGTTGAGAGTGAGTTCATTTCCAAATGTCATTTTCAAAATAATCTTTTCTTGTCCTTCAACTTTAGAAGTTGAAGAGTTGTCCATTAAAAGTTATTCACCATTGTCCACCACTGAATAAGATGTGAACATCTTTTTGTCAGCACAGATGTAGCGAGTAGCACCAGTGTCCACCCACCATTCCTTAGGATTTCCGACAAGGTTGCCTCGGAAACAATTACAGAAAGATTTATGTCATCTATACCATTGAAAATATTGTCTACTTCTGTCATATGGGCTTGAGTAGGCTTCTTGCTTGTTCTTCTTTTGCTTTTACCTTTGCTACGACAATCTTTGACCCGATGTCCCTCTTTGTCATAGATGTAACACTTGTCAATAAACTTGCACTTTTTAGTTTCCCCTCCTTTAGAGCCTTGTGATGAACTTTCTCCAGAAAACTTCTGTTTTTTTGCTTTTGGAGAATGTGCCACCACATTTTCTTTAAAATCCATTGGATGCTTACCAGCCCGCTTTTTAAAATTGCAGTTGTCTTCTTCTATCCTCAAACGCACAATCAATTCTTCTAAAGGCATTTCTTTGCGCTTGTATTTAAGGGAGTTCTTGAATTCCTTCCAGCCTTGTGGTAATTTCTCAATTAAGGCTGCAACTTGGAAGGATTCATTGAGAGACATGCCTTCTGTGTAAATGTCATGCAGAATGAGTTAGAGATCTTGAACTTGGCTGATCACAGTTTTAGAATCAACCATCACAAAGTCCAGGAATTTGCCAACCACAAATTTCTTTGAGCCAGCATCTTCTGTTTTATACTATTTTTCCAAAGACTCCCAAAGTTCTTTTGCTGTCTTGATAGGACTGTAGACTTTGTATAATGTGTTGTCAAATCCGTTCAAGATGTAATTCCGGCAAAGGAAATCAGCATGTTTCTAGGCATCGACCGTAGCAACCACTTGCCGGTCAGTTTCATCCTTGTTCAGAGTAAGAGCATTCTCACGGAGAAAACGAGTCAGGTTCAGAGTTGTAAGATAGAACATCATTTTTTGTTGCTATCTTCTAAAATCAGTTCCTAAGAACTTCTCTGACTTCTCACCATGATTGACTGGCACAGTCACAACATAAGGGGTTGGAGCAATTGTAGCCACCACACTAATACTTGTTTAGGCATTAGTTTGACCAATTTCAGTAGCCATGAATTCTAAATTATAAAACAAAATTATAATTAGAATTTTATACTACACAGAAAATTTAAATCAAAACCACAGAATTCTAAATTCTCTAAAATAAAAGAAACAAGAATTGTAACTTTTATTTTCAATTAATTTGAAAATAAAATAAAATTTTATTTAACCAAATTAATTCCCCATAGAAAATTAAATTTTTGTAACACTTCAATAATTAAAAAACTGAAACAAAATAATTAATGAACACTCAGAAATAATTTTTGAAAACCAAAATTAATTTTTGACAAAATTTCACAAATAAATATTCTGAATTGTTAATGACACCAGTATATTACTACTAGTTGTCAAAGAAAATAGACAATATATTGCTACTATCTATTAAACAGTATATTACTACTATTTGTTTTCCAACCAGAATATTATTTTGTAAAACCACAGAAAAAAAATTTATGTAAAAAGAAGAAAGAGAAAAGGAAACAAACGAAAAATTCTGTATAAACAGAATAATTTGAATCTGTCTTAAGATTGTTGGAATAATCTTCTGTGTACAATAAATAAATTGAAACTAAATCAAACAAATAAAATATATAACTTATAGGATTTATTTTGCCGAACCGAATGAAAAATTAAAAGATCAAGTCGAGTGTGTGACATTATATCCTTAAGACAGATTCGCCCCGCTTTGGTGTTTACGGACTTATGGCGTCTATCTCCCAAGATACAATAATCTTTATAAATTGTAGTAGCACTCCAAACAATTTGTTCGGCGAACTAGAACCTGTGTTCTATACTTTCTTTAATTTTCCTAAAAAACTAATATGAAGAATATATGCAATAGAGCAGAAAATTGGACAGTAAAAAAATAATCTCAGACTGTTTTTTCCGATGAGAATAACTGCTGGAATGGTCTGAATTTATAGGCAACACAAACTGCCCGAACAGGTATAAAATCAAACCTGAAAATGTATGTTTCAAACTGAACAGGTGCAAAAACTATTTGAACCCAGTTTTGAACCTGTTAAAAAACCCGAACCTGTTTGAACTGTTAATAAATCTGTCCGGTTCAACTTGGCAGTTTTAAAACTGTTTTAGAGCAGTTTAAACTGTTGGAATATTAGACTGGAGAAGGTTTGTTTAGACAGAAATTTTGAATTCAAATTTAAATTAATTTCCCGCAATAATTTTTGAAAAAAATTTGAATGAATTTTGTCCCAAAAAATTAATATAAGAACTGACTCGACCCACACCTGCGCACGACACGGCTCGGTCGGTCGGACAGCGACGGCCCCGCGCGCGCGTGTAGTGGTTTGGGCTAAGGTTCATTTTGTCCATAACTCCTCCCTTCTACAAACTTGGGGTGCCCCTTGGGGCCCAACCCAAGTTAGTACACTAAGAGCTTATATACTGATAAAAACTCTCTTAAAGTTTCAATGTGGGAAAACTAATTTAAAGGAAACCTACATTTAATTCTTTAAACGTCCATTCCACGAACCCAAAAACGACGCCAAGTTTTCATTTACTCATAAATGGTTTTGACAAACCGTCTTCACCGTGTGATTTACTATGTGGCAAGAAACGTCACCTGCAAGAAACACGTCACCTCTTCAGACCCAACCCAAAAAACGTTTGGAGTCAACTCAATTATGGGCTCAAAGTAGGCCCAAAATACACCTTATAAAACCAAATTTTCCAACAGAGGTAGGGTTATCCTTCCCTTGAGCACAATACTCCGAGCTCTATACCTCCATAACATTATCAGATAACTCAGATGTGCTTTTGATCTTCTTAGTGCTACGAACCAGGTGATCTTTCTCTTCTCTGGAGCAACCATGGTCATGCTGGGCCTCTCCAGAGCTCAGGATCTCACTAACGATCATATTTGCTCTGGTTGAGATATATACTTTAAGTTTTCATATTTGCGCGCTATTTCGTTTTCAAGTTTCCAAATCTCTCTCTCCCTCTCTCTCTCAATCTTTTTGTGTGTGTGTGTGTGTGTGGTGTCTTAACCTGTGCAAGTGGAACTAATGTACGCTATGGGGGTTAGAGAAATGCAACCTGAAGAACCCTACGGTGAAGAAAATACTACAAGAGTTGGAAGAGATGGAAGACAACACTTCCGATGATTTTCGTGAGCCTCCATCTAGAGGTACAAACCCCTCTTAAGCAATTTTTCAAAAACAAATAAAACCCTAATTTTTCTTTTTTCTTGTCAAGATTTTAAATTTTTTTTCTCTAGGGTTCCAATCATGTTTTTTGCTTCTGTTTAATTGGTCTATAGTAATTGTTAGTTGCGTTTTGGCATAGCAGGATTTGATGGAATTGGAAAGGATATGATTTTATTAAAAATTTGAAATTTGTGTTGTTTGCCTAGAATGAATTTTAAAACTGAATTGGATTTTGATTGATTGAATTTCCATTTTGAAATTCGTTAAAAAAATGATTTCTCCCAAATATGCTCCTCCTGTGTGTGTTCTTTGCGCCGTGTCATGTTGGGGTCCAAGATTTGATCAGAAAAAGGAAGAGAGCTTCCATTAAGGATTTGTCCAAAAAATTTCACCTAATGCTTAGAAAACAGTAAAACATAATGATTCCCTTATAGTGCATTACATTAGGGAATGGGTAATGATAGGGGAACGGGTAATGATAGGGACATCAAATTTTCTACCAAATAAACGATCAAATGTCTCACATAGGTGTGGGGTCCGCAATTTTGCAGACCTCACACCCATGTTGCGGACCCCACACCTATGTGACACATTTGGTCATTTATTTGGTAGAAAATTTGGGACCTCTAAGGAATAAGGAAAATGTAATGAAATTAATTACTTGTACCGTTTCATTTTTCTATGTATATAACCAAATAAAAAAAAATAAGAATCAGTGTGTTTGGTTTGAGTTTTTTGAATTAAATTTTTTAAAAATTGAATTTTTTTATTTTTGTGTTTTTTTGTTTTTAGTGAATATTTTTAAAATTTTAAATATTTTTTTTACTGTTTTAGATGCACCTTACTTAGATGTATCTAAAAAGTAAGAAATTTGTGAAAAAATATTTTTAAAATTTAATAAATACATAAAAATATAAAAAAATGTACTGAATTTTCGTTTTTTTTTTTTTATATTTTTGGTATTTAGTGAATTTTTAAAATGTTTTTTTCAATTTTTTTTTATTTTTTAGGTATATTTATGTTAAATATGTCTAAAAATTAAAAAAATTACTTAAAATATTTAAAAAAATCAGTAAAAATAAA